TTTAACAGATGATGACTGGAGGTAAGCACTGTTATGTGTGGGGCAGATTGGGTAGGGCCAAGGAGGAAGCTACTGAATGATTTAATCCAGCTTCTTTCTGAACCTTGTTTTACAGAGGTTTGGGGCTGTTCTGCTTACTTCTTAGTAGACATGACACCATGCTTGTAAGAGGACGTGCTTCCTACTATGTACTGGTAACAATGGAATAGGAGGATTGACTTTTCGAGCCCCACCCCTTTTCCTCTGGCCCAACCCACCACTGGAATGCAGTCCTTGAGAACTTCTGCAAAATGGACTTTGGCACTTGGACTGGAAAAGATACCTCACCACTGCTAGAGAACCCATTTTCACTTTTTATTGTTTTTTGTTGTTGCATTGCATTTATATCCCACCTTTCTTCCTCTTCCAAGGAACCAAACACAACTTACAAGGTTCTCCTTCTCTCTATTTTCTAGGTACTTTTGGTTGTTTACCCTCATTTTTCATCCATGAAGATCTGAAATTGGCTTCAATTAATCTAAAATGGTTCTGTCCAGAAGTCATCAAACTATCAACAGTACAACCTTTATTTTCACCATCAATTTCAGATCCCGGGGTTACCATAGCTCAGTTAACTAAACTAACTGACTAACTCTGAAAGAACTAAAGCCTTTCAGAAAAAAAAAAATCAACACTTTCTCATGAATGAATAAACCCATTCAACTCTTCTCTCTTCTCTTCTCTTCTCTTCTCTTCTCTTCTCTTCTCTTCTCTTCTCTTTTCAGAATGTGTATATCCAATCCTGTACATGCAGGCAATCATTTTTTATTTCTATAGTCCCTATCATTCATGATACTCACAACTTTTTCCTTGGAATGCAAGACACCAAGCTTTCCAAATCGGACATGGAATGGTGAACACAGGTATGTTCCATCTTTTTGGCGAACTACAATTACATCAATGCATCCTGAAAGTGTAGCCTGGTTAATGCCCTTGTACAGTTCCTTCACAGTCACCAGAAGACCTGCAAGCTGTCCCACGTAATTCATACTTTAAGGCTGAAAGAAAATGGTGAGTGAAACCATTATTCCAAATTCAAGGAAATGAAGGACTTGCAAATTTTCATTCTGCACTACGTGGTGCATGAACATCAATACATTCACAATCCCCCTTTCTTGGAACCTGCCAAGTTTTCTGCTTTTTCTCATTTTATGTCAAATGAGTTGACTGAGCCAAGCAGGCCATTTTCCATGTTCCATAAATTGGCTATTTACTAATTGTAACAAGGTATTTTTCTGTTTGCAGGTCTAAGACAGACTAGCTAGCACACTTATATCAGAGCATGTTGAATATGCATATCATGTTAATAATGCAGTTTTGTTTATGCAAGTAGGAAAAACCTGGAACACTATTTAAAAAAAGAACAGTGCTCTAGTTATAATTGACTGTGAAATGAAGTAGGTAATTAATTCACAGAAGGCTATATAAAAATGCATTTTACAGCTACACTCTGGGACAAAGTATGTTATGCAGATGCAAGCTCCTGTTTACCACCAAATGTATACATATCAGGGTGCTACAGACATTAGGACTCCTTGCACACACACAAATTATTGCAATCATATTTTACATACAAACACACACACACACACACACACACACACACACATATATATCCTGCCTTTTTCCTACAAAGGGCTCAAGGCAGCTTACATCATTCTCCTCCTCCATCTTATCCCCACAACAACAACCCTGTGAGTTAGGTTGGGTTGAGAGTCTGTGACTGGCCCACAGTCACCCAGTTGGCTCCATGGTTGAGCAGGGACTAGAACCCAGATCGTCTGAGACCCAGTCCCATGCGCTTAACCACTACACCACACTGGCACATCCTTTTAGGTGAAGATTTTAAAAAAGATAACCATAAAGTCTTAATACTAAATTCTATTCAACAGGCTTTTCTTCACTACTGAGAACCAAGTCACATCTGTGCCGAAGAATAGCTCCCTAAAAATAAAAATTAAAGCTTTCATGGTATCTCAAATTAGAGAAGTTAAGATTTCATTAAGAATTACTCAATACATATAAATGAGGTCATTCAAGATGAATTGCACTTAAAGCTTTTAAAGCTGATCACATTCTCTAGACTAAGTGTCACTTACTCTTTATTTCCAAGACTTGGGCAAAAGAAAAAACAAAAAAAACCCACCACCTTGGAATGTAAGGTACTTTCTCAACCCAGTGAAAATTAATCTTCTAAAATGATTAAGCAATTCTTTCTATACTTGTTAAGACCAGATGTGTCAACTTTGTCTGCCAACAGTGATATCTAAGAACTATTTAAATATACTTATTAAACCACAAGCAACTAAAACAGAAAATTCAGGCATCTCTGAATATCAGTATGGAGTCCTATGTTATTAAAAGAAAAATACGTTAAACATAAAAATATGAACCATTTAAAATTTAGGAAACAAGGGACACAAATAAAAGACAAAATGATAACGTAGAAGTCCCAAACAATCATCTTGACAACTGAGCTCCATTCATTGACCAGGAAGTTTGCTTCCTCACACCATGCTAGGAAAAATAATTTGGCTCCGACAGCTAGATGCCCAAGGACCACAAAACTAGCTTGTTCCACCAGCCAGGTTGCTGAGGTCTGCTGAGTTGTATGGGTTTGTGGTATTGTTAAACTCCCTAGTAAATTAGCTGATTAAAAATAAGATACAAATTTGCTACATAACTGAAAAAGAAAGGCTAACTACAGCTGTAACCCTATGCATATTTCCTTGAGAATGAGTCCACAGTAATCAATAGGACTCACCTTAAACATGTAGGCATAGAACAGGGCAGCATGTATATGAATAATGCAATAATAGTCAAAATATGTAGCAAAGAGCAAAGACACATAGAGTTCCTCATAAAAATAAGATTATATATATTTAGTCTGTATTATTGTATGAGTTTGGAAGATCATATATAATTGAGCATAATGTCAATGGGTGGTTTTTATATAAGTTTAATAAATAATTATTTGTCAAGAAGTCATTGAATCATGAAATAACATTTACAGAGCGATTCTACATTTAAGGAACGAAGGCAGGCAGGCAGGCAGGCAGGCAGGCAGGCAGGCAGGCAGGCCATAGATGTCAAAAAGCCAAAAGTATCACTGAGTTCAGTGAGACAAACTGACAAGTATGCCTAGGAACTTACTGTTACTATTATTCTTTTCTACAATAAAATATATTTCTGCCAGCCTTCACAGTATAAAACCCTTAAGACTCACAATGATTCTCTCAGAGGTGATAGCCAGTGCACCTTTTTGATTATGGAAACTTAAATGCCATTATTCTGCCATCACTCGATATACCAAAGTAACTATTTACCAGTCCAGCTTAAAGATGTACTATTGATAAGTTCAAAGCTATACCTGTATTAGCACTCTCCCTAAATTTCTTTTAAAAGACAGATATCCTTTTTTGCCAGAAGATCTTGATACTCTAATGGCTTTTTTCTGCTTCCTTTCAACACAGTAGTGCAGTTTAAAAAGGATTAGTCTTAGAAAACATAACTAACAAAAGCTTTACTGCAGTCACAACTTCACAGCAGTCTTTTTCTGAAAGAGATAAGTGATATGGGTATAACTCAACATATGTTTACAGTGATAGGACATGTTGCACTAAACTGAGTCACATGATATTAGTTTCATTGCTAAATTACCATGTCATTTTTCCTTCTTGCATTTTGAAGTTATATAGCACCAGAATTGCCGGACTGCATGTTTTTTTATCAACCTGTAGATTGGCTTGAATGAGCAGGTGAAGTTAAGAGATATATGCTTGCTCATTCCAGGACATTCAGTGTTCACCTCAGATAGGGTGATAGAAGAATAAGGGATTTTCTTCTTTCTGTGTTGCTCTCTCTGGAGTTCATTTTAAAGTATCAGTTTGTATTAGACTTCTAACTGTTATCTCCAACTTGGCCCCTGGGGAGCAGGGAAAATGGCCACAGTTACATTTAAAGTTTAAGGAAATTTTTGTTTCTGCTATATGCGGATGATGCCAGAGTATTAGGGTATTGAAGTTATTATTATGGGCCATCTCAGAGTACTATGATTAAAAATTAACACATTATTAACTCTGCAAAGCCTTACGGGTAATGCTACATATTCATTTTTTCCTCTCTTTCAAATACAAAATACATAAATGCATGCTAACAGAAGTCTGTCAGCAGCTGGACACAAATGCAAGCCACAATATAATTGGAACCACAGTCAAGGTGAAGAACTGGAACAAAACTACAAGAGGTCAATCCAAGGATGAAGCAGATGACAGGTGAGGACAGAATTTTAAGAACTTACTGAATAGGACTGGAATGAGGATAGAGCAAAACACAGATAGAAAACAGGCAGGGAGACCAGGACAGTAACAGGCAAACTGACCAGCAGAAATAACTAGAATACACTAGTCACACAAGCAAGGCCACAATCTGTCTTCCCAGGGAAATATACATACCTGAACCAGGCTAGGTCAGGACCAGTCACTGATCTAGCTAGGTAAACAGGTCCTGCCCACACTGCATCCTTCATTACAAAGGTACCAGTTTACATATTTGGAGGCTGTTGGTACATGTCTTGACTGAAAATAAAGGAAACAGACTGGGAAAAAAATCAGTTCTTAGTCTGGTATCCACACTTGAGAAACTGGAACATCAGCCAGAGAGAAAGGAGCAGGAGAAGGTCTGAAATTTAGACAGCTTTGAAATAACTGTGTAATTCCAGACAGTGTGAGTGGGAAGGTGATGGAAGATACACTCATTGCAATATGAAGTTTTGATCTACCTTATACATCATGTATCAACCTGCTCAAACAATATTAATGTCCATCTTGGAAAATAGCAATACAAGGAAATTATCTCTTCCTAAAATGAAAAAGGTAAAAAATATATGCAATATAAGGGAATTCTGTACTAGTAAAAATACCTGCATTTTTTTTATAGAAATCTGGTACATTAATAGCCCTGATTAAAAATAGTTTGTTTTTACAAGAAATCTGTCCTATACAGTATATGTTGATTCTGCTTATGCTGCAGAACACTTTGTAGAATCAGAGAACAGTAGAGTTCGAAGGGGCCAAGAAGGCCATCCAGTCCAACCCTCTGCTATTGCAGGACACCAGTTTAAACTATCACACACAGATGACTGCCCAGTTTCTCTCTGAATGTCTCTAGAGCCCACAACCTCTCTAGGCAACTGGCACCACTGTCATATTGCTCTGACACTTAGGAAACTTTTCCGATATCTAGTTTGTTGCAACTTGAGCTGATTATTTCACGTCCTACGCTCTGGTATAAGCAAGGAGAGATCTTGTCCTTCCTCTTTGTGACAGTCCTTCAGGTACTTATAAAATTATACCATGTGCCACCTCAGTCTTCTTTTCCCAAGGCTGAACATAAACAGTTCTTTCAGTCTCTTCTTATCAGGCAATATTTGCATTCATGTTTGTGTGCGCACATGCATGGTGTACATTCACTAGCAAGCTGCTGAAACAATTTAAACCACTATTTCTTTGTTATCATTACTCCAGAAAGTCTAGCAGAAGCAGTTTAAAACAGTTTTGTAAAATTTCTTGAAAATTTGGGCATATTCTGTATCACTCTCCTCATCCTTCAACTGATTTTTCAGTTGAGAAATGGCCCATAATAACCCTAATGTAATGCTTTCTGATTTGAGTTTTTATTTTCTACTTTGAGTGATCACCTTTACACCATTTGGCAGGTCTGGAATACCATGTCAGGTCCTTGCAATATAGGAAGAATCTGATGCTATCTCACTACTGCATTGGCATACTAGATGCTATTACCCCTCTGTTCTTCAGAGAGGCAAAACAGAAGAGCTCAAGATACAGGTTATATTTATAGAATAAGGCCCAGATCCTGATTTATTAAAGTAATACCTGCATGAGCCAAGTGCATTTGCACTGCTTTTGCTCTGTTGCATCTGCTCATGTGAGCAGATAAACAAGAAAGATATGAAAAACTCAGCAACGACTGTATTCAC